TCTAATTCTTTCAAGGTTCATTTTCTTTATTATTTGTACAATAGTATTTTCTTCGCTAATTTTCATTTCTTTCGAATGCATCAGTAAATAAAACATATTTTGCATGTCTAAAAAAGGTTTCTTAGGAATCATGACCTTAGGTTTTCATTTGAAATAAATAAAAAGAGAATTTGAGGTTAAATCACCTGGGTTATCGAACTCAAGTGAAGTCTTGTTGACTCTATTTGTTCTTAGTACGGGTTATGACATAAAAAAGAGTTGAGATTAGATTTAGTACATGTAAGTTATGAAACAAAACAAAGCGTAGAGAAAAAGATAGAGAAATTTACCTTTCTTCTTCGTTTTCTTTCGTCGTTGGGGTGCTTTGAAGAGAGGGTTATGGGTTTTGAAGAGTGTAAAGGAAGTTAGGAAGAGAAGTTGAGTCGATCGCCGGAGAAGTAGAGAGTTACCGTTGAGGGTGGTCATCGGAATGGTTTTCTCAATCGTGAAGGTTAGGTGTGCGCCAAAGTCCTCGGTTGAGAGTGGGTTTTTTTGGGATATGGAAAACCGAAGTGGTTAGGCTTCTTTCGTCGTTGGGTTGCCGGTCGGTTGAGGTGAAGTACGGTTGCAGTCGAATAAAGTTGGCCACCAAGGTGTGGTGGCCGAATGGTGGCGATGGAGGCTCTCGGTTCAGCTATCGGGGAAGAAAGGGAGAATGGAAAAGGGTACTGGAAACGGCAGTGCTAAATTTAGGAGTTTAGCTTATATATTAAAGCATTTGGGTTAATTAAGTTTTGGCCACCGATTTTGTTTGGTAAACTCAGATTTTCAATCCCTCAAAAGTTGCATGTATTCACGTTTAAATCATGGATTTGTGCTTATTTATTTATTTATTATTAAACACTAGTTCGTAAATATTATGTATATATTTATATCAAACATGTTTCAGTTAATATGTTGTATGTTGTTTTTGCGTATACAACATGCTTTTAACTTATACATTACAACATAAATGGATTACAACATGCGTTTAACTTATATTATTAAATAGGTGTATGTAATTTTGTTATGAATATGTTACTTTACATGATAGCTCTTTATTTAATCTTTAATGTATATGTGATCATAACATTTTTGTTTTACAATTTGTATGATATCCTCATGTGCATAACTCGACATATTACATAATTAGATTAAGGTAATACACTTTTAATTTAAAATTGTTTTAAGTGGGTTGTCATAACGCATTTGAGGTCCACTTTTAATGATTTTAAAATAAAATTGTATCCCATTAGTCACGCCTAAAAATTGATCAATCACTTTAAAATTTGAGAATGGAAGAAAAATAAATATTCGGCTATTTAAATTTATCGAGAAAAGGTTGTTATAGCTTTTAAGATCTGGTCTCGATATTTGTAAATAATCGAACATTCTTTATCTTTCTAAAATGACTTGGTAAATTTAATTTAATTTAATTTATTTGGGTGCTTTTGAATATTATTAAATTCACATCTTTGTTTTATGGGATCAAAAATCAAATTAAGTTCGAATTTGTAAAGTTCATTGCAAAGACGTTAATTAATCGACTAGGTACCGATTTAGGGCATTGTGGGGTGCTAATCATTCCTCACTCGTAACCGACTCCCGAACTCGATTTTGGTAACACAGACTTTAACTTGTTGTTTTAATTAAAATTAATTTTTATTTAAAATAACAAAAATGTTTTTGGGTGCCCAATCACACCCTAATCAAAGATTGGTGGCGACTCTTCGAACCATATTTTTCTATTGTAAACGAAATCCCAATTTTTCGAAACGAGAGATTTTTTAAATTGTATTTATTTTTTTAAAAATTAATTGAAAGAGATAAATTAAAAATTGATGTGGTTTTCAAAATCTCACCTTTTGAGGAAAAAATCGTTTCGACATTAAGGAAAAATAGTATGTACAGTGGTTTGGTCCGATTGCCAGAGTACTAACAATAACCATTTCAAATTGAAATGGGATTTTGGCGTGATTATTAATCAAACAGGAACAACATGTGTTGGAGTTATGGGATTCCATCAAAACATAGCTAACATACAAGAGATGGATGAAAACTCAAACCACAAATTGATTTTTATATATATACACTATGGACCGTTTTACATATCTTTTACTTTTCTAATAGTTAAATTATTATTTTTAAAATTGGGGCCATGTCCCATCAAAACATAACTAACAGACAAGAGATGGATGAAAAGTCAAACCACAAATTGAGTTATATATATATATATATACACTATGAACCATTTTACATATCTTCTATTTTCTAATAGTTAAATTATTATTATTTTTAATGGGCCCCTTGTAAAATCTAGGCCCTAGGCGGTCGCCCTCTACGCCTGAGCTCAGGGCCGGCCCTGAGAGTGAAACGGCTTAGAGTTTTTTTTAAATAAAGTTATAAAATGGGTAAAACCAAAAAGGTAACATTTATAAATTATAATTCAGTTTTAAGGAAAAATGGTATGTACAATGGTTTGGTCCTGATTTCCAGAGTACTGACAATAACCATTTCAAATTGAAATGGGATTTTGGCGCGATTATTAAGAAAACATGAACAACATGTATAGGCTTTATGGATTCCATCAAAACATAGCTAACAAACAAGAGATGGATGAAAAATCAAACCACAAATTGATTTTTATATATATACACTATGGACCGTTTTACATATCTTTTACTTTTCTAATAGTGAAATTATTATTATTTTTAAAAATGGGCCCTTGTCCCATCAAAACATAGCTAACAGACAAGAGATGGATAAAAGTCAAACCACAAATTGATTTTTATATATATACACTATGAATCGTTTTACATATCTTCTATTTTCTAATAGTTAAATTATTATTATTTTTAAAAATGGCTCCCTTGTAAAATCTGGGCCCTAGGCGGTTGCCCTCCACGCCTGGGCTCAGGGCTTGCCCTGTTGGCGAGTATGCTGATGAGACCGATATTTGTATAATGAAGAAGACATGTCAAGAAAACTGGTACTCTCCCAGGAGAAATACGAGTCAGTTAATCGATTTTTTTATAATTTCAGATAAAGACATGGTCTCAAAGGAGGATTTTGTATAGTGGATGATCCAGGTAAACCCGCCCCATCAAGTACAAGTCATCGAAGGATTCAATCATATGGTCATGATGTCCAAGGAGAGTATCAGGAAAGGCGGACTATATACGACGTTACGGAAAACATAATAAGATATTTAACAAAGTCAGTTTAGCGCTACCAAAAATGTTGAGTAATAATAATGTTGTAGGTGGAAATCATGAAGAAATATTAAAAAATTTGGCAACCGACAAACTTAGCTTGTTGGTAGGTATCGATACCTTGCAAAGAAGTATCGATACATAACAATATAAAAGGTTTAAGTTTGACAAAACCGGTTTCAATTTGACAAAATAAGTAGAAATACCTGAATTATTGAAATTTGTATCGATACTTTTCTAAGTATATGCACCAAATTATCGATACTTTAGGAATTTAAAAGAATTACAATAATAACGCCTGTAAAGTATCAATACTTTATAAATATGTAGCGATACATGACAATATAACCGGTTTTAATATGACAAAACCGGTAAAGAGATACCAAATATGTTGAAGGTATCGATACTTTTATAAGTATATGTATCATATTATCGATACTTTAGGAATTTAAACGAATTACAATAATAGCGTCTATAAGTATCGATACATTATAAACATGTATCGATACATGACAATATAACAAGTTAAAATATGACAAAACCGGTAAAGCGCTACCAAATATGTTGAAGGTATCGATACTTTAATAAGTAAATATATCATATTATCAATACTTTTAAAAGAAAAAAATGAAAACGTATCAAAAGTATCGAAACCTGACACAAAAGTATCGAGACTTGGGTAATTGTATCGATTAAATATAAATAACATATCCGGTTAAAATATCAAAGACATAGTTGCATTTCTTGTGAAAATAGATATAACACGGCTGTAGTTTTCGAAATCGAAGCGTATTAGTTGCTGCGAAATAAAAGGAAGGCATTTTTAAAGCGAAGTGCATGTTTGTTGCTGCAGCCGAATCGAAAAGTACGTTGTCGAAACCCTAGTTTTTACTATTAAAATAATCAGAAATATGGGTTTATGGGTTTGGGTTTTTAAAGTAAAGAAGCATTTGAGACCTATTACATGTAGAAAATGATATTCTAGGTAGAAAATAAATATCGATACTTTTATAAAATATTATAGGTAGAAAATGATATTGTAGGTTGTATAAATGTACGGATACTTGTAGTAGAGAGTATTCCTATTAGTTTGAAGGAAACCCTAGTCTTTTTTAGTATTACAATAATTATAAATAGGGATTATGGTTTATGGGTTTGGGGATTTCGAAGAAAAGAAGGATTTGGGAACGATTAGAGTTAGAAATTGATATTATAGGTAGAAAATAAATATTAATACTTGTATATAATATTATAGGTAGAAAATGATATTGTAGGTTGTATAAATGTACCAATACTTGTAGTAGAGAGTATTCCGATTCTTTTGAAGGAAACCGTTTCACTATAAGATTAGTTATCGATACTTGTATATTGAATAAACTATATAACCAGTATTTGATTTGATTTGCGTAAACTGATGTATGAAGGAAAAATGAAGTCAACGGATCTTGCAATTGTTGTTTCCAAAGATGACATTGAAATGGAGTCTGAGAGTATCAACAATGAAGTAAATTGAAAGCAACCACTGGGTGGATATATGTACTTCTAGTAAGTATCAATGTATTTTGTTATTATTGTTGAAATGGTAATTGGATTAAAGAATGTAAGAACTTTAAATTGATTACAAATTTTAAATGTTGACAGTATGATTGAATGCCAAAAGATGAAGGAAGTTGGTAATCACAACATCGGTTCGGTATGTAAAATGAAATTGACATTGAGTATTATTTAGCGTTAATGTATTGATTAAGAAACGTTTATGCTTAATTTTAGGTGAAACATGAGTTGTTGGAGAAATGGAAGTCGATGAGTGATGCTGAGAAGGAATCGTACGTGACACGGTCAAAAAAGGATAGATAACAATACAAAGCTCGGAGAAAAGCACATGAAAAGAAGGTATTCATTAAACTTGTAAATACTGTGATAAAAGATATATAAGAACAACAACATTATATATTTTTTAAAAATGTAGAAGTGTCGACAAAGTGTAGCATCAAAAGACTGAACTCCATAATTTAGTCGATCCTTGGTGGAGCAATTTGATGTAGAACAATGTGGAGTTAAATATGGTGATTATTGGTTTCCTCTGGGGGGTCCCATGTGTTGTAGCAGTCTTGGGCTAGAAGATAAAGACAATAGTGTTGAAGAAGTCATTAAGACGAAGAAATGGTAAACACTTGCGATGAAATATGATTTAAAGCACAAGGTAACATATGCTGGACTTGAAGAGGAAATTAAAAGCGAAGCTTACGAGGGGGATAACCTAAAGACCTGTGTACTATTGTACCTTGTCGGAATCTTTCTTTGTTCAACGAGTGATACATGCTCGAGCAAGGACAATATGAAGTTGATTTACGATGAAGGCTTGCAAGGTAAATTGAATTGGGCTAAATATGTCTATTCCAGATTGATTGAATCAATAAACAACTTTTAGAAGGGTCGAAGCCAGAGATACCTCAAAGGGTGCATAACAATCTTAGAGGTAAATAAGATGAAAGACGTGTTGGGTTTTATATAAAATGATAATATAGTTATTATATAAAATGATAAATTTAATTATAAATGTAGGTTGCATTGTTCGATTTTTGGTCTGACTATAATAGTATGTCGGCATTCCAAAGAACCGGAGTGGCACACATATGTGCATGGGGAAGGAAGAAGTAATTAGAGTGATGGCGAAGTTGAAGTTGGAAAGACCGAACAAGAAAGAAAGGGTAATAAAAGTAATTATATAATATTAAGAATATAATCCAATGTATTAATATTGTAATTTAATTTTGAAGGTTATTGGCAAGGATGTAAAGGTGGAAGAGGAGGAAGAGGAGGAGAAAGAAGAGAAGGTAAAAGGGGGATGATGGTCAGGCCAGTTCAAGTAAATTTGACATTTTGATGTCTGAGTTGGCGGAGCTAAAAAAGTCGTTTCTGATTGTTTGGAAAGACAATCCAGAATCGAAGAGGCAATTGAGAGCCTTAAGAGGGAAGTGGGTGGAAAAATTGATGGAGTGGTGAAAGAAGTGGTGAAATTGAGGAGTTTATTTAAGGGGGTGATGGGAGGGGTTGAGAAAAAAGTTGGATGAAGGGGAAAAAATGAAGGTTGAAATAAAAGATATGAAGAGTTATGTGGAGGAAAAATAAGATGAATTTAAAAAAGATAAAGAAGAAAAGATGGATGAAGTGAGGAGGAAGGATGTTAATGTTATGCGGACACCGGAGATTGTAATGGATTCTAAGCTGGATTCAGAATATCCTCCACCCAAGAAGAAGAAGCAGAAGATAAGCTGCATAAAAGAAAACTGAATTTGATTTTCATTATTGTGTTGTGACAAATAATTGTAAGCAAAATTGTAGGTTGAAAAAATGAAAACACCAAGAGAAATTGGTGAATACGAAAGTGTAATGTGTGAATATATATGGAATAGTGGGTTACAATCGAGGTCAATGAAATATATTGATTTATAAGTGATATTTAAATATTTCATGACAAAATATTAATCCAAATTCTTCATACAACGATATTGTAATCGAAATGAGAAATCAATACGCCACAGTATCGACATTGCAACGTTGAAGCCTATGGAATGGGTTAGCGGTGTGGTAAGTAGAAAGTAAAAATGTTAAAACCTAGTGAATATGTTGAAATTGTGTAGTTAATTTTGTTAGGTTATTGATTTGGTTGGCTGGGTATTAGTTTACGAATCAAATAAGATACTTGTTAATGGGAAGATTGGCTACATTCCATATAACTTAGCGGTGATTTAAATTAATAAATGTTGAAAAGTAGTGTTATAGATGGTCAATTAATAATGATTGTCGCGTAAATACAGAAAATGACATTGGATGGCATTGCAAGTGTTGACAATGTTGCGGTCTTTTGGGAGATGATATTGAAAGACAATTCGAAATTAACCGATTGTGACACGATAAGATACCATACGAATTGCAAATAGTGTTTTGGTAGATGATAATGTTGAATTTTGTCAAATTGGGTGTGACATTTATTACTGATCCTTATTACAATAAACGACAATGGTTCCCATTAGTATCTGTTGGTGTTGGATATGGTTTCTTGTGTTGTAACGATATACGATAGTATATTTTCAACTCTAGGGGCCAAAAAGAGAGTGAAAGATGCTAGGAAATTGGTATGTATGAAAGGAAACAATAATTTATAATGCATAATTTGTTTGGATCATAACTTGATATTTTTTAATGCAGATTACCATATTAGATGATAAATATAATAAGGAAGACATTTTGTAAATGCATATGAGCATCTGAAGGTCTTATTGAAAGATTTCAAATTTGTGGAGCATAAGATAAATGAGAAATTGAATGGGTATGAGATGTGCATAAATTGAACGCGCAATTTATACAGGTTTCATATTTTACATGTATGATATTCAATTATTTTAACAGATATGATTGTGGCATTTATGTAATTATGCGAACGGAAGGGATCGTTGCTAGAGGGTCAACATATGATTTGGTAAGTGGAATGAAAAATTAGTTTGCGGTTAAAATGTTAAAAGTCATAGATTGAATGATGTGGTTAACATATTGACAATTTTAATATAGGTTGTTGGAGAATGAAATCGTATGAGAATATTAAATGATCTCATAAGCCACGATCAAAATATAAGGAGAGAAACGGTGATAATAGCTTCCATCAGACACATGTACAAATATAAGCCCCGATGATGTAAGTGAAATTTTGTATATGAATTATAATTTTGTATGTGAATGTAATTATGTATGAGATGAGCAAAGTTAGCAATAGGTTGTTGTACATGTTTGTTATACATAGTACAAGTTATGCTGATACTTACGATATATGTAGATCAGGACTTACATTATTCCAAATGTCGTCATTATCCTGAAACGTAATAGACATATTGAAATTATAAATAAGCATTAAAAATTGAAGACAACATTGTAAAATATATATAGTAACTCACATCATTGTCATCATTTGAGGGATCAGTCGACCATTCTATCCCGTCTTCAAAATAATCAATTGATGTAGGTTGTGTGCTTGTTTCCAAACTGAGCTTAACTTGAGGACATGTTAGTTTGTTATGTCCCTCGCCATTGCAGAACTCACATCGTCTAATTTTCTTCTCGACCTTGTTCTTTGCTACTTCTTTTCACTTTCGTTATTTTCGTTTAGGGTCGCAAACGTTGTTTACTACACTTCTTCAGTTGACTGAATCATTCAAACCAAATGAGTTTTCGAATTTGGCCGTTAGTCTTTTAATCTCATCTCTTGCGGTTTTAAAAGACACATCTGTCTTTGATGCAATGTAGCAAAACCAACTTGACGTTGCACGTAGAGCAGTGAACCTTGCCATTTGCACTACTTCTGGAGGTACATTCAAGTCAACAAAACTTAGTGCACAAGCCTTCGCATCCTTAGTCCACCTAATTAGAATAAAAGACTTAGGTAAAGATGTGTAATCAAAGTGCTTCAAAACGTGAAGTTGATGGCGACATGGAATTTCGATGGTCTCAAATTTTCTACAGGAGTATGTTAGGGTTTTCGTACCAAAATCAGTTTTGATTTCAAATCTCTTATTTTTTCTTTGTACTTTGTCAAAATATAATTTTGACATTCATCTGATAAGGACTGAATCTCTTCCAGAAGTCGGTACAATGTCTCCCGTTGAAGTTCTTCTTAGAACAAACGAAAAGATTCGAGTGTATAAATCTCAGCAACATGGCTTTCAAGGTCAATCAGTTTTGTGAGCTGGAAGGGCTTCGTCTGGGAACTTAAGTAATCCGCTTTTAACTCGTTGATATGCATTATACTAATTCCTTCTTCAAGTGCACGAACACCATCTAAATATGTATTCTTGTTTTTCAGTGCAATCGCGAGTGAAACATTCATAGACTCGCACCTTTGTGTTGAGTGAATATTGACAAAGAAATGACTAGATATGCTTGTGCCCATAAGTGCCAAGTATTTCCCTTCTCATTTACCCATGGATGCTTTTCGACATTGAATTTTGAAACAATTGAATGCCATTGAGTATCAAATTCCTCGATTATCCATGAGGACGCCATGCATTTTGAGAATACTGCTATAAATTTGGGGTTATTAATATTAGCTTGTGTATTACGAGAAAGATGCCAAGAACATAATTTGTGCTTAGCAAAAGGGATAATAGATTTGATAGCCTTCTGCATTGCTCTATCCCCATCATTGACAACTAAAATAGGTGATTTATTCATCATGTCTTAAAAAAATTATTTACCACCCACTTGAAAGATTGGGACGTTTCGTCAGTGATTATGGCAGTAGCAAACACTATTGTGTTATGGTGATGATTGACATCGACAATAGGCATAATTGGTCAACCATACAAATTATCTTTGTACGTTGTGTTGAACACAATTACATCACTGAAGCACATGTAATCTTATCTCGACGTAGAATCAACCCAAATAAGATTATGCAACGCCCCTGATTCATCTACCTAGTATGTCAGAAAAACCCGAGATCATCATGTTTCTTATAATCAAAGTAAGCAATAAGTGCATTCATATCCCCATTGAAGATTTCCTTTGATTTACCTCTTTGAAGTTCATTGTAGAGGTCTTTATGTGTAAATCCAACATTATGATAACCCTTTACCTGATGCGTTAAATAATTCGTTACTTGTGATGTGTCAACACCGACGTCTTTCAATGTTGTTGCCTCATTCACATCAACCTTACTCACAGCTCTATTTGAACTCATAAATGGTGTCATAGCAGGTGTGCACAATGCATGATTATGTTGCTGAGAAGACTTACTTAGAACCCACTGATCGTTTATATTTGTTGCTGTAATGACAACTTTAGCCTTGCATCTGGTTCTTATGACTGGCGTATGAGCATGTTGACGATCAACAATATTACTTTGGATACTCGAAACCCTTCTTTTGAACAACAAGATTCTTGTGTCGTCACATTCTCTTCCTTATCAAGGCGTGTTATTCCGCGATGTGCACTAAAACCATGTTTCCGTGCGAATTCCTTGTAAAAGTCCCAAGCTTCCTCACGTGAAGAGAAGAGACGACCAACTAATCTGTCAGATTCATCAACAATAAGTACTTCATGTCATTCCTCGGTTAGCTTAACATTGTCTGATACAATATGATCCATAACTAATGGTTCAAAAGAACGAAAAAAATTTGCTTGTGTTTCGAAAGTTCAGTGGTCCCAACAGGAGTTAATGGAGATGTAAGTAAGTAAAGGTTCATAAAACAACATGCTTCAGTGGTGCTTTTAATTATATTAGGATGTGGTAGTTGAAGGGTGGTTACAACATTAATTTCTTAGGACATATTTAGGTATGTACAATTAATAAGTATCGAATTCAACATTTATTACTTTAAAGTAATAGATAAATTTACAATGTAAGTGGTAAAAATATACACGTTTAATGACAAAATGAGTAAACATAAACTAGAAGTAAAAAGAAAGTATCGATACAAGTATGAAAAATATCGATTCTTGAAACTTCGAAACCGATTAACTTAAAGTAATAGGTAACTTTACAATGTTAGAGGTTCAAAGATACTGGTTTATGATAAAATACGTTAACATAAAATATCGATACTTTTTTTTATGTGTATTGATACTTTTGTCCAGTATGCTTCCCAATCTTAAGTAAGTAAAGAGAAAGTATCGATACAAGCATGAAAAGTATCGATTCTTAAAACTTTGAAACCGATTAACTTAAAGTAATAGGTAAATTTACAATGTTAGCGGTAAAAAGATATCGGTTTATGATAAAATACGTTAACATAAAGTATCAATACTTTTTTTTATGTGTATCGATACTTTATGTCCAGTATGCTTCCTAAACTTAAGCAAGTAAAAAGAAAGTATCGATACAAATATGAAAAATATCGATTTTAAAACTTCAAAACCGATTATTTGAAGGTAATAGGTAAATTTACAATGTTAGCGATAAAAATATACCAGTTTAATGACAAGATATGTAAACATAGAGTATCAATACTTTTTGTATTTGTATCGATAGTTTTTGTCTAGTATGCATCCCAAACGAGATGCACACATAAAGTATTGATACAAGTATGAAAAATATTGATTCTTAAAACATCAAAACCGATTATTGATAATGTTTCCAGTAATTAACCGGTTATGTTATCGTCGGATTTCTAAGGCTCTATTAGCTTAAACTTTGGTAACATTTTAGGCATTACCTAATATGTTGATAATACTAATAACAAATTAAGTAATTAACCTATTTTGTTGTCGTCGGATTTCCAAAGCCCATCAGCTTTAAAAAGGCGCTACCTATTACGTTATATAAGCTCTACCTAATATGTTATTATGCTTGATAATATTTCCAGTAATTAACCGGTTATGTTATCGTCGGATTTCTAAGGCTCTATCAATTTAAACTTTGGTAACATTTTAGGCGTTACCTAATATGTTGATAATACTAATAACAAATTAAGTAATTAACCTATTTTGTTATCGTCAAATTTCCAAAGCCCCATCAACTTTAAAAAGGCGCTACCTATTAAGTTATATAAGCATTACCTATTATGCTATTATGCTTGATAATGTTTCCAGTAATTAACTGGTTATGTTATCGTCGGATTTCCAAAGCCCCATCATCTTTAAAAAGGAACTACCTATTACATTATATAAGCGCTACATAATATATTATTATGCTTGATAATGTTTCCAGTAATTAACCAGTTATTTATCATCTATATTTTTGGCGTATTTTACATAGGACGATAACATAACCGGTTATTACCGTTTTTATTACCAACTCAAATAATATTTCTGGTTAAATCATACAACATTTCCGATATCGATTTTAACAGATCACTTGTTTAACCAATCACGCCATTTTATAAATTTATTTTAACCGCCTCACAGCAGAACTTCCCTGATGTCCAATCCTATACAACTTTGTAATCTTCTATCATGCTTTGCTAAATGATATAATTAATGATTTTATATATTTAGTGCTTCACATTCATCACTTTTATCATTTTAGCCTTTACCATGATCCCACTATGGTTCTTATTCTCTCACTCTAATTCTAACTAGCACGAACTAAACGACCTCAGTGGTAAAAGAATTATTATTATTCCTTTAGGACCCAGGTTAGAGCATCATGAATGATAGAGGGTGTGAGGGTTCAATTTCAAATGGTTAAATTTTATTAAACTATTGCAAAATTATCATTAACTTATTGAATTATTACAAAATGATCTCTAAACTTATTGAATTATTACAAAATGATCTCTAAACTTATCAAAATTCATCACTATTTTATTATATGAAACAACCATTTCATAGCAATTTGATAAATTTTAAAGCTATTTTATAATTTCAATGATAAAAAAATATTTCAACATGATAATAGTGACCATTTGTGTACTTTATAAAAAGAATTAAAACATTGTGTTAAATTTATCTTAAAGTCACTAACTACACGTTGATCTAACAAATGAAGCGTTAAATCCTTTAAATAATATCAAGAATTTGAATCTTAATGTTGTGAATAAAATAAACTAATTAGAAGAATTATCTCATAATATGTGTCTTTCAATAGACTTAATACAATTTTTTTTCAAACTATACATCTTTTTTCATTTAGGTGCCTAAACTTTATTTCGTATGTGGTGTCTAACGTTACAACGTTATCATTTTAAGTATCTATGACATAACGACCGTTAAAAAATGTCATCAACCACTCATTGATCGTCCCTTGTTGATGCTTATATTTAAAAAATTATTAAAAAACTTAAAATTATTATTATTTAAAAAACCTCTCAAAAAATTTCTAGAATCTCGTAAAAGTACCAAAATCCTTAATCCCAAAGTATCAACCATACTCGCTGACCGTTTTTTGTCGATGCCACCTCGTCGGCCGCCTACCTATCTATCACCACCTATTCACATGTAATTGATTATTTCTTGTAGATCCAATCCCCAAAATCTATATGCTCAAATCTTTAAATTCAAACCCTAAATTCCTAAATCTCAACACACATTCATCCTAATAATGGGTGAGTGGTCGATCGATGAGTACTTGATTGCCAATAGTGATAGTGATCGAAGACAAAATTGAAGATCTTGAGGTATTTTCTAAAAACAGAAATTGATGTCTTTAATGAAAATTTATGAATTTTAACTTTTAAAAAATTAAAATGATATTAAAATTAGGTTATGTGTTAAAAATTAATTGATTGACTGATTTTTAACACATATTTTTAATGATTGTTATGATTTAGGCACTTAAAATAATAACATTTTTAACGTTAGACTTATACATTGACCGAAAAATTAAACACTTAAATAAAAAAAGTATTATTTAGATATATTTTTATATTAAGTCTCTCTAATACATATTAGGATAAACTATGTATTTAGTACCTATATTATTTTTCTTTCATTTTGGCACCTAAACTTTATTTTTATTTCAAAATTAAACATAATGTAGTTTAGGTTTCATTTTGGTAATTGTCTACCGTTAAAAACATAATGGTGATATAACGCGTCACTATAAGATAACACCAAATCATCATTAAAAAAGAACTGAAAAAATACGTCAATATTTTAATAAATTTGTTAACTGTGATATCAAAATAAAACTTAAACAAAATGTTAATTATGATTTTAAAACAAAATAAAATTTTAATTATTAAAAGGAAGTAAAAGTAATAGTCTCGGCAGTAGCATAGATTCCCCCCTCCACCTTATAAACCCTCCATCAACACGAATGTTTCTCCCCTATAAAATAAGTAAAGAGAAGAATCCCAACTATCGGTAGATTCAATCTTATCCCCTACTAGACCCTTTCTCCCCTTATAATTGTAACAATGGCGATTTGGTGCACTTCATAAAATGAAATATCCTATCTTCAAAACCTTTACACATAAATCTCTTAAAAGGGTCTTTGAGATTAAAGAAAATGGCGACAATCTCTCCTTGTCCATCTCTCATGCTATCTGCTTCTACCCATTTCCATGGCTTCCCTAAAATGTATCTTAAAACTCATTCCCCCTTTCTTCATAAGCTCAAGGTAAACCTTATTTTCTCTCTTCTTTTGTTCTGTATGTGTTGGTTTGGCGATTAATTTCAGTCTGAATCTTGGGTTTTAGATTTTGCTATTAACTAGGTTGGTTTTTGGTGAGTTCTGTACTTAGGCTTTCTTGGGTTAAGGTAAAATTAGATATTGGAACCAGGGATCTAAATCACGGTCGCATTTTCGATTATGTTGTGTTTACCATGATTTCTGCCATAGCGGGTGCTATTGCATGTATAGCAGAAGGTAGCGCTACCACTATTTCGCGGGCGTTATCGCTGTCGGAGACTGCTATTTAAAACCCTGATTGGAACTGGTTCTGGTATAATCTTGCTCAGTGCAGCATCATTTACTGGTGGAATGACGCATCTTTTTGTGTCCAATATTCTACTGTTGCTTCTCGTTTATTACTCAATTGGCTTGCTTTATTCCCTTGTTACTTTGTATTTCGACTAGTCTGGATCCCTACAGAAATGGGTATGGGCTCTAGCTATGTGGTGTCTTATCCAACCATGTTCATTGTGAAGAATGGAGGGTAGTTGGATTCTTAATTGTTAGCAGGTTTTAACTAACACAAGTATTTCAATTCTTAAATCATTTCCGAATCACTTTAAGTGCTTCTTTGTGGCAGTGCTATGTTTTGTTTTTGCTTTGAGGTCTGACTTGGTATGTTTGTTTTTGTTTGGTCAATTTTCTTATAAAGATTTGGCTATACAATCTCTATAGTAAGAAGCATGTATTGTTTTAGATATAAGTGACCATTACAATGTCTGCTTTAATTCGGGATGGACAATTCGGATATTGGATTTGGATATTTGCATATATCCAATTTGATTATTGCAGATTCGGGTATTGTGAATTTAGATAATTTGTTGATTCGGATGTTAAAATTATCATCCGCATCAGATTCGTAGCAGATACAAATAGACATTGTTGGATATCCATTATCCGAATCCACATAAGCGGATTTATATATTTTAATCTGACTTCAGATTACAAAATGGAGAATTTGTTAATTATGAGTGGATTCAAACCTTGGTCATCCAATTTTTAACGATTTTGGGTTTGTGCATATTCGGATATATGATATATAATTTAAAATTTATATTTGGATTCTTTTAGATTCGGAGATGGTGGATAATAATATTTAATTCGAATTCAGATAATAGTAATTGGACAATATGAGGATAAAAAATGGATTCCAAATTTTTAGGCAGATATGCTGATGCAGATCAGGTATCCAACTCACTGCCATTCCTAGCTCTTATTCATGTTTCCTCTCTCTCCTGAACTAAGATTACATTGGACCAATATTCTCCATTTCGCTGGATTTGATCATATATTTATATATTTATGGCACATAGATATAATATAATGATGTTTATTCCTAAAGTTCAATGATTGCATATTACATTTTTTTTACACTTCTCTATTTACCGTAACGACATTATTTATCATTTATGTTTGTGTGCTTTGCTGTAGAAGCATCCAATTCGTTATCTCGAAGCACATGGTTGCGGTTTGACCATGAAACAAAACGAAATCATTCAGAACACCAAGCCAAATATCTGTTCTGCTATAAATCCGCTTATGTGGAATAATTCTCCTCAGCCAGTAAAGAGATTTCCTTGGAACAGAGCTTTCGAGAACTTTGTTCAGCTCATACTTGATCTTGTTCTGGCAGTGGTCAAATATCTAAGTGCACTTGTACTTACAGTTTCATCCCTCAGTGAGATGTCCTACTGTGCACATCAAAGGAAGTTGACCATCATCCCTGTCTCCCTACTCATTGGCTTCGTACTTGCAGGGGTTCTAAATGAAACTTCCTTGGAACTATCTCCTCTTCTCAAGGTATGTACTTTTGTAACTCATGAATAAAGAATGTTGGAAACTTAAAGACACTACTAATTGAGCTGACCATGGGAATGCCTTATCTACATTGTATGAAGTTTATTTATCATCATAGTGAGGATGGGATTATTTACACCAGAGAATCTATCATATTGCAAATGCCTGAAAACGCCTTTTATTGTTTCCCCTTAATAGAACTTATTCAAGTTTACAAATATGGATGTTACCAGCATGGTAAATATCGTGTAAAAATGTCAGAGCGTGACATTTGGTTGACCTGTTGGCTTGATTTTCAGGATGCAGAAGTTCCATGGCACCTTATTGCAATTGCAATATTATTCACATTGATCAAGTTGCCAGGCCCTTATTACCCATACTGGGGGCGTATTTTCATTCCACACATTGCGAATGGAGCATTAGTGAGGACTCTATGGTTAATGTTTTTGTGGTATAGAAGACCCAAAATATCAGGAGCTGAGTTGCCAAATAGTCTGGCAAATGGTACAGATTCTGAAATTGAATAAGCAGTAATCTCAACGGTCTGTAACTCGGAAAGTGATTCATAGTTTGTGCAGTTGTTTTTCTCTGTTAGTGTATGATAATCTAATAGTAAAGTTTGTTATTTGCATTTACACCAACCTTTCTTTCTGATTTTCAATTACCGAGTATTAATTTGTAATTACCAAGTTCATATATGTACTTCATGGCATAGCTAAGGGTCTCCCTTTTTATAACAGGTTGCATTTTGTGTCTGAGAAACCGGCCGGGACAGGCTGCTTAGGAAAATTTGTCAGAACTGGAGAAGAATTTGGCTTGGAAACCTTAACATGCTGGTGCTTGGGATGTTCAGCCTGAAACTTTAAACACCAAAAGTGCCCCAGTTATTATTATTATTATTATTTTTTTTTTACTTTTGCATGTGTTTTGTTTCATTCAACCTTGAACTAACGGCTCTGTAGTGTTGTTTTCTGGACAGAATATCACAAGGATTTGGTCCTAACTGTGGTTAAAAGTTTGTATACATTGGCGTTACTGAATTTTTGATTACATAAAATACGCTTTCTGTATTTGTAGTAAAGACAGAGTTGGTAATTTTTCAAAAGCAACCCTTTACTCACTATTTGTATGAAGAATTTGTTTTCGGTATTAGGTTGGGATAAATTTTGATAATTTTTTAATTAGTTGTGGATGTAGATGTTAAGGAAAGTGTTGATTTCTTCAACTAATTCCTCAGTGCAATGCAACTAAAATATAACTGTGAGGTTTGAAATATAGCAATGGAAGTGTTTGACTCATGCATGTTATTGTCTTCTGTGATTGACTGCTAGCAAATCGGTATAAGATGGAGCATCGTCTAAGATTCTGAAGAGTATTTATTCATCAGAGAAAGTTATCTCTTCATCTGCAAAATGGTTTAATTAGCAGGAAGACGACATTTCTGTTTCCTAGGTTTTTTTATTGGTTATTTCCCTCAGAAGAACCATGGGCATATAAAATTTTGTTAATAAAGAGGACCGATTAGTGATAATTGAGACAAACCTTAAAATCTCATGGAAAGGAAGTGTAGGACGCAGGAGAGGGTGGTGGGTGGTGCAATAGTGTGAGGCATGGAGGGATGTCTACTGATTTTTTTTTTTAACTCTTGAGAGCCAAACCAGAATGAGATGCAGGTTTACCCTTTATTGTTTCTAACGCTATCGTTGGTGGTGCTGATTTTTGAATGGAAAAATCTTCCAAAGCTTGTATATGTTTGCCACTTGGAAAGTACTTCACATTGCTTTCATAACTCTATAATTTATGACTAGGGATGACAATTTAACCCAAATTCGATGGGTTTCAACCCGATTCGACCCGAAAGTGTCGGGTTTAAAAAAAAATCAGGTTCGGGTCGGGTCGGATTTTTTAAGGGGCAAGGTTAGGTTGTGTAACACTCCAAATTCCGGGCTAGTAGTTTTGAGTTTACTCAAGAGGTAAGTGGACCTCGTGAAATAAGTAAAGTCGTTGGGCTTAATTGGGCTTGGATTTGGGCCCATTTAGTCATAAAAAGAAGATTTTAAATTGTAGAAAAACAAGGAAGGACTAAGTGTGCAATTTCCTCATTTTGCAAAGATGAGGGTTTTATATCCCATTCTATTTCTCTTCTCTTCTTCCTCATCTTCTTCACTTCTTATTCCTTCATCTTTTCCAAGTTCCATAGCAAGGTAAGATCTTGAACCCTTTTACAAACTTCATTTTTGTCCTAAATAATCCCCAACTTCATTTTGAAGATTCAAGCTATGGGTTTTATTTTTGCAAGAAAAAGAGGGATTTTTTATCATTCAAGTCTTGAGGAGAGTGATTGCTAGCTAAAGAAACTCTATTTTGGGATTCAATCATCAATGTAGTGTATTTCTAAGCATTTGGAGTATTAAGTTTTCATAAATAACAAGAAATTGTTAAGATTTGTGTAGTTGAGCATTTAGGGTTTTATATTTGATTCATGTCATAAATCATGAATTTGTTGTTTAGTATGTGTTTTATGACACCTTAAGACCCTAAATAACTACCCATAACATTAGTACGTGATTTTTAATCAAACCATGACCTTTAAGATGAATTTTAAGTGTTTCTCGAGCCTAAAATAACCATTTCAGGGTTTATGTATCGATACTGGATGAATAATATCGATATTAGATGAATTGAGGCAAAAATTAGGAATTTGGGCTAGGAGTATCGATACTTCCCATGAAGTATCCATACTCAGGGTGATAGTATCGATACTGAGGGCCCATTTTCACGATAGAATGCATTTTTGGTATCTATACTCATAGGGGTATCAATACTTGACCCTAGGGTATCGATACTGCAAGTATAGTATTGATACTATTCACTTTGGATGGTTAGATTTGACCCGTTTAAGGTTCGTAAGAGCTAAGTATGATCTGTAATAGTAAGACTTAGTCCGTGAAAGACATAAATGACCAAGCATACCTAAAAACACTCGTAGGAGTAGGTTACATCAGGTGTAACCATATTAAACATAATACGCTAAAGTATATTCAATCAAGGATGTACAAGGATAGTTGGGACCGAGGATCATTATAGGAAATATCTGATAAGATGTACGATGAATATGTCAGATTCAGTGGTAGCGAAAAGCATGAGCTTCGAGAATGTCAGTGAACCCAAGAAAAGTAAGCTGTCTATTTCAGTTTAAGAGGTTCTGAAGGGAAGTATGATAAGGTCGAATAGAGTACCGCTACTCAGGAATGAACTTGAGCCAAAATATCGGGTTAGCAGTTTTGCAGTCAATAAGTAAGCATTCACATAACATTCTAGATGAGAGAACGAGCGAGATAACAACTAGTATGTCGTTGACTTCACTTTAGTGAGTCCAACTATGCCAAAGTATAGCTAGGTTACCGTAATTTCCCTAGTGGTGCATTGTTAATGCACGGGGCACTTCAGGAGCTAACTAGGGCGCGAGGCCCGAATACTCGCGAGGAGTGGGTTAGAGATGTTAGTGTTGTGTGACCTTTGGGCCTTAGGTATGCATGGGTAGTAATGATTATGAATTTCCTTAAGAGCATAAGGCTCAAACATACTGTTAAGCTTCACATAATTATCTAAAAGAGAGAGAACGATAAAAATACTAGTAAGTGAGGGAGTGTTCTCACCTAATTTGGTTGTAATTGATAATAATAACAAGATAACAAGGAGATGATAATACTATATATGTGATAAACATAAGAACCTTATGATGTAATATTCCATAAGACTTATGCTTTTGTTTACTGCTTGGGAAATGATAAGGACACACGAGCTACTTGTATGCACGATGATCATCTAAAGTACATATATGTGAAATATTCGGATATATACCAACAGTCTCAGTCACTTTAGTATCAGTGCGAATACACTTTCGTATCAGTGCTGAGGCACTATACTACAAGTGCTAAGGCACTTCTGTAAATTGATGGCAATGCCAATAAATATACATATATATATTGTGTTTATATATGTATCATGCTTATTGCATTTTGTCATTGTTTGGTATTACAGTCGGAGACCCAATATTTGTATACTCATGGCGAGGCTCTTAGTAGAAGACTAAGGGAGAGAAGCATGAAACTCAAACTATAGCGATAGAACTATTAAACCCTAAGTAGGTAGTAATTGATCTTGATCTTACATGTACCTATTGCTTAGTATCATGTCTTTAGCATGCTTACGTTCATGAAATTCTTATGATGATCTAGAATAGAGATTATACTGATGGGCTTTGTAAGCTCAACATTCGGATATTTTTCGTTGGCATGTCATTAGCTTGGGCAGTTCATGGAGCGCCGTCGTAGCAAGATTCCCATCATATTCGTCAGAGTATTGTACTGTAGCTTTAGTGGGCATGTGTATTCATAGAACATTACTTATGTATTTGAGTTGTAAACTTCAATATGTATTATCTTGTTTTAAATTATGTGTCATAGAGCTCCGTTTTATAAAATGTTTTCATAATAGTTAATTATGTTTTACTTATGATACCATTCAATATATTTGAAAGGAAAATGAATGGGTTTTAAAATTAAGGGTTGCCTCGACAATCCATTATGGTACTTTAGGCCCAATTTTGTTTAGGGTTTTATATTTAGTGGTATTAGACCGTCAGGTTGAGTTGGTTCTAAGACCCATTGGTTAGTTTTAGTAAGGCGTCAATGAATACATGCCCCTAGGTACTGAAAGTACTTTTATAAGACTGGAATCTTGATGGTGCTTTCTTTTTGTGACCATGATTTCGAAAGTAGTAAAAGTTTTGGTTCCGAGCGTAGCCTCATTAGTAGGGTGGAGAGCTGTGTCTCGCATCCTAGTAACTTTTGGTGAAAGTTCCTACCTAGGGTAGGGATAAAAAGGTTTCGATATGTCTGTGGATTGTTAAGACAATATTATCTAGTGATTTTACTTCCACTCTCACTGTGGTAGTGGATGTTTTGTAGAGCACAGATTGCTCAACCAATTGCTCTAAGAAAGAAAACTCTAACAGAGTCCTAAAAAGTATAAGACATTTGAATTTTATGGTTTAAGTGATGACGATCCGTTTGTGGACTAGTCTGTGGTTGAGAGAGGTCATAAGGATTTTTATGAGGTAGTTTTACCTTGCTCCGAGGGTAAATTAGAGTGTGTCACCTCTTTACTCAAGGGTGACACTATCGATTCATAGGAGATTGTAGAGATATCTCTACACCTTGGAATGTCTTTGTGTGGTCATTCTCTAAGTGATTGTTAAGATAAGTATATCAGTGAAGCGTACGTGAATGTTTTAAGGATGCAATACTCCTAAATAGTTAAGGAGATTCTATGATGTACGAATATAAGAGAAAGATTTCCTTTGGTTAACACGATATACTACTAAGTCAGTTTTAAATGATTTCTTGAGGTATAGGTCCCTTGAAGAGCCCCGTATAAATGTTCACATATGGTGGTTTGGACCTGCCTAGATAATTTTCTGAGTTAACACGACAGCTAAGGCCGTGGAAAGGGTACAGGCTATCAGAAAGAGTTTTTTGGGTGAATCAGGTAGCCCAAGTATGTATGCCAACAGATCCATTTCAGTCAGTGGTAGAGAGAGCCAAAGGTCCGCGAGAGTAGGGAGAGTGACATCAGCTTTGTCACTCTAGTCGAGTTAGAGATCAGACATAGGGTCTCGTAGGAAACCGCCAGCTTCCTCGTCTGTGGTGAGCTCTAGAGGCTCTAATAGAGTTTTGGGGTATTTAGAGTGGAAGCATTATGGAAAAAAACATTGAGAAAGGTGCTTCAAGATTTTTAGAAAGTGCTATAGGTGCGGATCCTTGGCGCATTTGGCGAGAGATTATCCTAGTTTGATTGGTGTTGGTTCTATGTCTGGGTAGGAGAGAAAAAGAATGGACCAACATGTTCTCGGTTCAGTGATGTTTGATCCCAATTTTCAAATAACAGAAGGGCAGATCCAGGATGTCGATGACACAAATGAGATGCCAGGTATGTTTTTAGATGTTGTAGTTTTTCATGTTGCTGTAGTAAACATGATGCATGCATTCTTTTGTTGTGACAAGTG